TCACCCTGAGGTCATCACAGAGGACAAGGGGGCACTCTTTACGTCTGGAGGAAAAGATATTTAATCTCCAAACATGGGAAGGTTTCTTCACAGTGAGAGCTGTGAAAATGTGGAATAGACTCCCTCATGAGTTGGTTTTGGCCAGCTCAGTGGATTGCTTTAACCACTTGCCCTCCTGAGTATTTACCCCCTTCTGACCAGGCCTCTTTTTGCTACTCGGCGCTGCACTAATTCAACTGATAATTGCACGGTCATGCAATGCTGCACCCAAACAAAATTTACATCCTTTTTTCACACAAGTAGAGCTTTCTTTCGGTGGTATTTGATCACCTGTGCGCTTTTTATTTTTTACGCTATAAACAAAAAAAAAAACACCAAAAATTTGGAAGAAAAACAATATTTTTTACTTTCAGCTATAAAAAATATATAGTAAACTCAAAGTTAGTTATAAATTTAGGTCAAAATGTATTCTGCTACATGTGTTTGGTAAAAAAAATCCCAATAAGTGTATATTGATGGCTTTGTGTGAAAGTTATAGCGTCTACAAACTATGGTATAGATACTGCAATTTACACCATTTTTTTTTGCTATACAGCGCTGCGCTAGTTTAACGGACAATTGCGCGGTCATGCAATACGATACATAAATGAAATTTATATCCTTTTTTCCTACAAATTGAGCTTTCATTCGGTGGTATTTGATCGCCTGTGCATTTTTATTTTTTGCGCTATAAAAAAAAGGTCTGACAATTTTGAGAAAAAAAACAATATTTTGGACTTTTTGTTATAAAACATGTCCAGTAAAAAAAATGTAAAAATCAAATTTAGTCCCTAAATTTCTGCCAAAATGTATTCTGCGACATGTTTTTGCTTAAACAAAATCCCAATACCTGTAAATTAATTGGTTTACATGAAAGTTGTAGCGTCTACAAATGGCGGGAAAGATACTGGGATTTTTTTTTTTCTTTATTATTCCAATAATGGCGGCAATCAGCGACTTATGGCGGTGATCAGCGATTTTTGACAGTGATCAATGACTTATGGTGGGACTGCGGCGCACATTTTGACACTGAGGGGGGGGGGAACTGACTTGGGGTCACTGACATCCCCAGTGACCAATACCAATACAGTGATCAGTGCCAAAAAAAAATAAAACACTCCCACTGTATTAATGACACTGGGGAGGAAGGGGTTAACTTTTATTAGGTAAAGAAAGGGTTAACTGTGTGAGGGGAGTGTTTTACTAGGGGCGGGGGTGTGTACTTCACAGAAACATGCTGATCCCGAGAGATAAGTCTTCTCTCAGGTTCAGCGTGCTCTGAACTGACAGATAGCATGGCTGTATTGTTTAAGTTGCAGCTCTGCTATCTGTCAGTGATTACTCGGTGATGGACTCCCGCTGCCACGATCGGCGGGACGGGTAGGGCGGGCACGTGCCTTGCGCGCGCTCCCTACCTGTTTTGCATACCGACGTTAAAAGACGGCGCTGTGTGCACAGGTGCCGCCCTGCCGCAGTAAAAAACACTGCGGTGGGTCGGCAAGCAGTTAAAAAAGGCCTGGATTCTTCCTTAGATACACAGAATATAACTGGATACTAACATTTATAGGTAAAGTTGATCCAGGGAATATCCGATTACCTCTCGGGGGATCAGGAAGGATGTTTTTTCCCTGCAGGAGCAAATTGGAACAGACAGGTGCCAACTGTCTGAAGAGTCAATAGCTAAAGACCTCCAAACTTTGTGTGGCCTTAAGATTAGCAACAAAAACAGTGCATAGAGAGCGTCATGGAATGGGTTTCTATGGCCGAACAGCTGCATCCAAGTTTTAAATCACCAAGTGCAATGCAAAGCGTCGGATGCAGTGGTGTAAAGCACGCCCCCACTGGACTCTAGAGCAGTGGAGACGTGTTCTCCGGAGTGACAAATTGCACTTCTCTCTTCGGCAATTTGATGGATGTGTCTGGGTTTGGCGGTTGCCAGGAGAATGGTACTTGCCTGACTGCATTGTGCCAAATGTAAAGTTTGGTGAAGGGGAGATTATGGTGTGGGGTTGTTTTTCAGGGGTTGGGCTTCCAGCAAGAGGAACACTTAAGACATCCGCACACCAAGATATTTTGGACAATTTTCATGCGCCCAACTTTGTGGGAACAGTTTGGGGATGGCCCCTTCCTGTTCCAACATGACTGCGCAGCAGTGCACAAAGCAAGGTCCATAAAGACATACATTTAGGTCCATGTATATTTGGACCCAGGCACAATTTTAGTTTTTTTCAGGTATTTACCAAAACATATTCAAGTTGTAGTTATATAATGGATATGGGCTGAAAGGTGCACACTCTCAGGTTTAATTTGAGGGTATGTACAGTTGCAAGAAAAAGTATGTGAACCCCCTGGGATTATGTGGAGTTTTGCATGAATTGGGCATAAAATGTGATCTGAACATCATCTAAGTCACAACAATAGAAGAACACAGTCTGCTGAACATAATACTACACAAACATTAGATGTACCCCTCGTATGTTGTTTGTTATTGTTGTACTGTGCCATGTATTGTTGGGGTTGAGGTCAGGACTCTGACTGGGCCACTCCAGAAGGCGTATTCTGTGCTGTTGCAGCCATTGTTTTGTTGAATTACTTGTATGCTTTGGGTCATTGTCCTGTTGCATCACCCATCCTCTGCGGAGCTTCAGTTGGCGGACAGATGGTCGTACGTTTCCCTGCAAAATGTCTTGATAAACTCTGGAATTAATTTTCCCATCAAATACAACAATCCGTCCAGGCCCTGAGGCAGCAAAGCAGCCCCAAACCATGATGCCCCCTCCGCCATGTTTTACAGTGGGGATGAGGTTTTGATGTTGGTGTGCTGTGCCTTTTTTTCTCCACACATAGTGTTGTGTGTTCTTCCCAAACAACTCAATCTCGGTTTCATATATTTTTGCCAGTAGTGCTGTGGAACATCCAGGTGCTCTTTTGCAAACTTCAAACGTGCTGCAATACTCTTTTTGGACAGCAATGGCTTCCTCCGTGGTGTCCTCCCATGTACTCCATTCTTGTTTAATGTTTTCCTTATTGTAGATGTGTCAACAAAAATGTTAGCGTGTGCCAGAGATTTCTGTAGGTCTTTAGCTGACACTCTGGGATTCTTCTTTACCTCATGCAGCATTCTGCGCTGTGCTCTTGCAGTAATTTTTACAGGACGACAACGCCTAGGGAGAGTAGCAACAGTGCTAAACTTTCTCCATTTGTAGACAGTCTGTCTTACCGTGGACACATGAACATCAAGGCTTTTGGAGATACTTTTGTAACCCTTTCCAGCTTCATGCAAGTCAACAATTCTTGATCGTAGGTCTTCTGAGAGCTCTTTTCTGCAAGGCATGGTTCACATCAGACAGTGCTTCTTGAAACCAGTAAACCCAAAACAGGTGTGTGTTTTTTAAGGGCAGGACAGCTGTCAGCAACACATCCAATATCATCACACTGATTGGAGTCAAGGTTGGCTCACTCCTGGCTCCAATTAGCTCTGGGAGAAGTCATTAAGCTAGGGCCTCACATACTTTTTCCTCCCTGCACTGTGAATGTTTACATGTTATGTGCAATTAAACCATGGCAACATCTAATGTTTGTGTAGTATTATGTTCAGCAGACTGTGTTCCTCTATTGTTGTGACTTAGATGACGTTCAGAGCACATTTTATGCCCAATTCATGCAAAACTCCACGTAATCCCAAGGGGTTCACATACTTTTTCTTGCAACTGTACTTAAGCTTTTTTACCTTAAGGCATACTTTTGGCTAAGATAAAAAAAGTTCCATGGTCTCCTATCCCCCAAGACAACTTAATTACTTACCTGATCCTGATCTTCATCCAGTGCTGTGCTCGAGAGCAGCAGATCTGTCTCCTCACTGGAAATGGAAGGAACAGTGGGAGCCATTGGCTTCTGCTGCTGTCAATCTAATCCTTTGAGGAGGAAGCAGGGGGTGGAACCAAGCTGCAGTGTGTGTGTCAATGGACTTACAAAGCTCTGCTTGGGATTGGGCCTGCATGAGTGCAAGGGGCTTGCTATGGGGGCACTCAGAAGGCAGGAGTAGCCGGCAGGGGACCCCAGAAGGTGCGGGGGCCACTGTGCAAAACCATTGCAAACGGCAAGTAAATTTGACATGTTTGTTATTAAAAAAAAAAAAAAAAAAGTTAACTTTACAATCACTTTAATTGCTCATTGAGCCTAGGGGTGCATGAAATAAATATAATATTTATCTTATTCCGCACGTCAGCAGGTCTCTCTTGCTGTTTGACTGGTCCCGCAAAGCCTCCTCTCTAAGGTGCTCCTGACCATGGTCACATTCCTGTCTTCTGCGAGTACAATGCAGTTTAAATCACCTTGTATTGTACAAGATGACACCGAGGGGACCGCTCACAGACCAGAGCTTTGGGAGAAAACCGCACAGGAATAGGGTTAGGGTCAGTAATACTGCCTGTTTGTGTACCCCCCTAGACATAACGAGCAATTAACTGGGTGGGCTCTTCTACAAGGGTAGATTTCATCTTATTCCTGATGTTGGGGCCCCCAGTGAATGTTTGGAAAATATTACTGTTAATTGAAGCAGTGTTTAGGGGTGCAAGCCAGTCCATTGGAGAGCCAGGCTGCTGATGTTATGTGTGAGAGCTGCAATCCAGCTTTCTACAGTAATTTGCATATTTAATATTACATTTTGCAGCTTGTGTGCATTTCAGTAATAAATCACAAGGGCGGGTATGGCTTAAAGCTGCCAGCTTCTCTCTCTTACTTTCCCTCTCTTCTTATCTCTTCCTCTCCTGTGATGCTTACAGTCTTATGGTAAATTGTATTTATTTCATAAATATTTTATATTTATATTTTAATCTATGAATACGTACATATGAAGTATTTCGTCTCTTGATTTTAGACAAGCTTAATAATATATATATGTTATGGTTACAATCCAATGACAAGTTCCCTTCTTATAGATCTAAATCTTTCTCCTTCAGGCTGGTGGTGACCTAGTATCTGTATTCACTTACGATATCCGTCCGGGGGTAGATGAACAGACGCAAGCAGCCAAATCGGCATTAAAAAGAATCAAGACACTGCGACACCCAAATATTTTATCATATGTGGATGGATTAGAGGTAATTAGTCACTTGAGCTTTCCTATGCTGTTAAGAACATCTAATGACTGCAAGAGCACCTTCTACAAACAGTTATTTTTTTGACTGCTTAATGACTACCTGGTATTAGAGCTGCTGTATTCAATAGATTCTCCTTCAGTCACACATCCTCTTACATATTTAGCTGTTCAACAGTCCTAACTAGACCTAGTGTGATTTTTAACCACTTCCAGTCCGGACACTTTCACCCCCTTCCTGTCCAGGCCAATTTTCAGCTTTCAGAGCTATCACACTTTGAATGACAATTGCGCGATCATGCAACACTGTACCCATATGAATTTTTTAGCATTTTTTTTAGACAGATAAAGCTTTATTTTGGTGGTATTCACCAATGGGATTTTTATTTTTTTGTGCTATATAAATGAAAAAGTCCACAAATTTTGAAAAAAGGTGTTTTTCTTATAAAATTTTGCAAATAATATTTCCTCATAAATCTTGGCCAAAATTTATTCAGTTATCTTTTTAGTAAAAAAAAAAAAAAGAACCCAAATTAGTTTATAACCAAAAATTATAATTTTTTTAATTTTGTTTTTTTGATTTTTTTTTTTTTAACATACTGTCACCCTAGCAGTACAGTGTCACCATGGTGGCACTGTACTACTTGTGGGGGGTGATGTAGATTTTTTTTTTACACTGATTGCTTTTATACTTATAAAGGCTCTAAAAGCAATAATTTCTCCTTCTCTCTGGCTGCATTCTTGCAGCCATTGAGAAATGCTGTGTGAGCTGTGATTGGTCACAGCTTGTCACATGGTACAAGCCTGTTGTGAATAGCCTTGTACCATGTGACCTCTGTGATCATTCACAGATTTCACACATAGTAAGCAGTGATGTCAGAAGTGACATCTTGCTTACTACTCTGCATGTGATCACTGATTGGCCAATCAGTGATCACATGATCGGGACCTCGCACAGAGGTCCCGTACGATGATCGGTGTCCCACTGTGTCCGGAGGACACAGAGGGCACTGGATTGCGGTGCTGCGTGCTCCCAGAGAGTGCGCACAGCTTGAAAATGCTGGCACCGTTTATGAATGGCAACCCACACCTCATATGATGGAATACACATCTATTCTAAAAATTCCTTAAGAGAATGAAAGCACAGTAAGCCTATTATAGGGTAGTAAGGAGGTGAGCGTACAGCTTATAAATCACAATAAGAAGTCACTGGAATCTATCATCACTAAGAGTTGACAACATTACTAAAGATGTCATTGGAATTTATAACCTCACTTTAATCACTGGAAATGGTTACTTCAATTTAATTAGAGACTTATTTATTATTTTTTATGATATATTATTCACTGGATGTTTGAACAGATATTTGATTACATTGTTTTTATTTAATATTGTTTTCACAGGGGGTTTTATTTATTTATTTTAAACAAAAATTTTTTTTTTTCTTTTTTTGATTATATTTTTCAATTGTACGGGTACACTATTTCATTATTTTATTTATTTGCTGGATTAGGAGCGCGACATTATTTATATTTATTTTATTGACACATAAATAGAGGATGTGTTGGATGTCAGCGAACCTATACTTATTATAATTGGTGGCTCATAAGTACTACTCATATTTTCTGTAACCCGCCCGTGGACTGCCACCATCCGGCCGTTTATATACAGCGGCCGGACGGCAAGTGGTTAAGGCTAGGATTTAATGTGCATCTTTCCTGCCATCATAACAGTTCTCAACAGATCTGTTTTATAGATCTGTATGTAGGAATGTCAGTTTTTTGTTTTCTTATTCCAAATGAGTTACATATATGTTTATAATTGCTAGCAGTTTTTCTAAATGATTGCAGTTTATTTTAATGATTTTTTTTATAACATACCTATCATAGTAAAGTAAAAAGAAGTCAGCAAATGGTCATTTAATGCATTTCTTACTCACTTGAAAAGATCTCAGAAAATGGAGAACATTCCAAATATACAGTATAATTTGTTTACTAAAGATCTGTTCTAGAGCATTGCTGGATGATTTGAACTTTTATGCTCAATGTTGTTGTACTGTTTTTGCTAATTTAGGAGTCATCCCAACCAAAAGTGATAAGCAGATGGGTTGTACTATATTTTCTCCAGGAATGCTGCAAAGAGATCTGTGTACCTGATATAACAACCTTTTCCCCTCTAGCAAAGCAATCACATTGTTTAGCTTTGTGTTTGTATAGGAGGGGTTGGTAGTGTGTACACAGGGTCTACAAGCAGTTCTTTAGTAAAAGAACTTTGTGATTTAACCCACTTTTGTCCTCCCTCTAGATCTAAATAATTTTTCTTTCCCCACAGACTGATAAATGCTTGTACGTAGTGACAGAACCACTGACAACTCTGGGGACATATATCAAATCCAGGAGTGACTCTGGCGGGATCAGTGAATTAGAGATTTCCTGGGGTCTACACCAAATTGTGGTGCGTGTTTTCATCATCAATCCATTTTAACTTAGATATTTGTCATTTTCATGAAAGACACTGGTAAAGTCCATTAATGGGCTTCTGCAGGCATATGGCAAGAATCACCCTTGATCTGCTTTTCTGAAGTGGTGGAAAGCCACTTATAGTTCTCTGACCCTGCCCATAGCTTCTTGAATTTTGAAGGGTATATCAATGTAACCTTGCAGTCATTGAATTCAATCTGTTAGTGCTGCATTATATGAAAAAAAAAAAAAACACCAAAGAGCGGCTGCCCTTTGGTAGCCTTGGAGTTGTACATCCAGACAGTTGAGAGTGAATGTTGCCATTTTTAGGGAATTCCAGGCAAATATAATACAAACCCCTTTTATTGTAGTTATCTATTCATTACAAATCATAAAATGTATTATTATTTATTTCCTGTACAGTAGGTCTCAGACTGGGAGATGGAGGGTCACTGCTTTCAGCTACAGGCTCTGCTTCTTAGACATGTTCAGACTATAAGCATGCTAACAGGAAGTGATAGGTGACATAATCAGTCTGATGCTTCACCTGCATAGCTAAATCTCAAACTGGGTAGGGAATAGACAGAGCTGTAAGAATTCATGGGTTTATATATGCAGATCTCATTGTTTACATGTGTACCGGGACTTACACACTGATCAGAAAGCAGATCCTCTGCATTTGGGGCAGTACGTAAGTCACAGTACGCATGTAATCAATGGGTTTTATGTATTTACCCTTACTGCTCTGGATTCAGCCAGCTTGTCAGGGCTGGGCACTTTTAAATGCTAGGCAAACCAAACTAGGAGCCAAGTACTTATAAACTCGGTTGACAACTTTAAGAAAATAAATTAAGGCATAAAGATATTTTCTTTTTCTTTTCTTTTTTTCCGGCATATCGCCTGTCTGGGATTTGTCTAGCCCTGATTCATTGACATTGGTATATGTTCTCATAAATAACACGTGTGTCTTTTTGTTTGCATCTAGAAAGCGCTCAGCTTCCTGGTCAATGATGGTAACCTCATTCACAACAATGTCTATATGTCATCGGTGTTTGTTGATCGGGCAGGGGAGTGGAAGTTGGGGGGGCTGGATTATATGTATCCAGCAGGTAGTGAAGACAGTGCACCTAGAAAAGGACCTGAGCTGGAGAAGTACAATCCCCCTGAGAAGTCAGACCGCTCAAAGACATCTAAGGAGAAGTGGTATGTGGAAACACTGTACTGTATTGAAATATTTTCGCTGATTTTGATATGGTCCCATTTTTGACAATGTGACCTCTCTGTAACAGGTCAGCTGACGTGTGGTGCCTTGGTTGTTTGATATGGGAGGTCTTTAATGGTCCCCTCCTTCGCACAAATTCTCTGCGTTCACTAGGAAAGGTCAGTGTAACGTATTGTATATGAGATAAAGAATTGTTCCAATTCCTTGTGTCATCTGTGATGGCTCTTTTTACATATATTCTGTGATTCTTGGCCTACTCCCTGGTATGGCAAGTGATGTGCACACGTATGGTAAAAGTGGAGACTTCTTTCCATGTAAGGGATACATTTAAGCCGGACAGCAAGATAAGAAGGCCTCAACACTGCTTTTTACTGAGGCAAGAGCAGTGTAGAAAGCACATTAACTCATAGCCACCACTTAGAACTTTTACTAAGCGGATTTCAGTATACTAAAATATGATTGGCTGCATTTGGTTTCTGTCTTTTGCACTATTGCTCTTTGCAACCCAAGAAACACATGAATGTCCCAATTTTAAGACTTTCATTTATTTTAAATCATTTGACTTAATGCGGGAACTTAGCTGCATGTAGCAATTTATTTATTTATTTATTTTTTGGTCGTCTACCTCCCAAGTGCAAAAGATGTAAAAAAAGAAAAAAAATTATTTTAGATTTGTAAACTTGGGTGTTTTTTTTTTTTTTGTGCTTTAAGGCACAAAAGGAGGCACTGCCTCCTGGGATGGTTACTTCACAGCTGTGCATCTGTGTAAGCGTCAGTTTTCTGTGCAGGTGCACAAACACTGCGGGCGGCGAGGGTGCCCATACATTAGAAAATGGCGGCATTCATATGCGTGCACCCATAGTCTCTACCAGGTCTCAAAAACCTAGTAGAAACCGGTGTCGCATCTGCGCATACACCAGACCTTGCATGATGGGAGTGCTGAAGAGGGACAGGGATGGGTACAGCAGCAAAGTTCCACTTTAAGGTTGGGGATGTAGTCACAGCATTGATTTATTTTTATGTATTTACGGTAAGGTCATTAAACATTTTTTTTTACATTTCTGTACATGTTCCTTTTTTATACACAGAGCTATATATCATAGTTATTTTGTATCTGCAGATCCCTAAATCACTGGTGCCTCACTACTGTGAACTTGTCGGTGCCAACCCTAAAATTCGCCCTAACCCAGCACGATTCCTCCAGAACTGTCGAGCCCCTGGTGGGTTCTTCTGCAACAGCTTTGTGGAAACCAATCTGTTCCTGGAAGAAATACAGGTCAGTTACTGTTTTACAATGCTTTTACTTTTGAGAAGTCTTTCCCTTGCAATTATTTTCAGTTCCTGTTTGTAATGTAGTTTAAATTTGCAGAAAGCCTATAAGACTGTAGGATTTTTTGGTTTTTGTAACTGAAAATCAAAATGCAAAATCCAATAAAAAGTTTGCAAAAAAACTAAAATCTAGGTTGCTTTACATGTATAATTTAAAAGGAGCCTATCCACCCCTTTCCCCAAACATAAAAAGATAAAAGATATGTACAGCTCTGAACTGAAAACACATCACAGTCATCTGATAAATGAACATTTATATGAGTAAATGTAAACTTTCCCTTAACATAATTCCTGCTTTCCTGTGGCACTGGTAACATAGCCAGTACCTTCCAACTACCCCCCCCCCCCCCTTTAGAAGGATCCCCTGACAAGCAGCATCTAGCAGCTTTTGCTAATGTGCGAAATCAGGCACAGGCGTTATCTGTAGACCAGCACAGAGACCAAGGAAGAAGAATCTGGCTACAGGTAACGCGTGTGTGTGTGTTTAATTTTTTTTTTTTTTTTTTACATGGTAGTGTGGGTTTCACGGCAAGTGTCAGATAAACTAGTGGGATTGGGCAAGTACAAGACAAAAGAGGAAAGTAACTATAAGGAAGTTTAATTTTTTTCAAATACACATTTCATTGGTGCTGGCTGTTTATTGATGATGAGAGAGATCTGCTTAAACTGTCCACACTCAGAAGGTACTGCTTTCTCATTCTAAGTGGAACAAATGGCACACAGTGGATTATAATCATCTGGTAAGTACAGCAGAATATTGATTGGTTGGTAAAATGTGTCCACACCACTGGTGTCTGCTGCCTAAAATGGCTATTTATTTTCCCTTAGGTGTTGCACAGTTTTTCTTTATTGTCCATTGAGGAACACAGCTTGGTAATAAGCAACCTACGGTTATATAGCTGCCTACTGGAGAAAGAGACTCCTAGCATATAGAAAACTAAAGGCCATCCTACTTGAAGCTAACACCCTTCCAGCCTCACACTTGTTCAGTGTCACATAGTGTCCTTAAGAGAATAGACGTTTCTTTCCCTTATGCTATATTTTTAACTTTATTAGGAAGATTGTTTTCACTTTCAGTAAGTTTTTATTAAAAGTTTTACAAAACACAAAGCATAACCAGTGTTGGTGCATGGGTAAATACAATGCATCAATAAATTCTCAAATGGCAACCATTGTTGGTTAGCATTGTACCTAGGAATGCAGAATTTGAAGATTGATTTCATTTTCAGTAAGTTTTTATTACAATTTTTACAAAACACAAACCTATATTGGCATGTGAGTAAATACAGTGCATTGATAAATTCTCGAATAGTAACCATCGTTGGCTAGCATTGTATCTAGGAATGTGGACTGAGCACTAGTTGGGTGCCAAAAGGCACTGGTAGGTTTAATGCAGGGGTCTGATCCACCAAATGAAAAAAACAAAAAAATATATAAGCAGAGGCCTCCACGACAAGGGGGGGGGGGGTCAAGGAAAAGATGTAGGGAAGGAGAGGGAGAAGGACGTCAGGGACACCCCAGCAGGAATCCTAGGACCTCGGAGCCTATGAAAGTGTATAACTTGCCATAGACCTAGATGGGTGAGCATGTTGTTTCCACAGGAAGAATGTTTGTTTTCTACTATCAACAGCTACTGATAGATTAAGGCTGAATATTAGAAATCCTGAAAGTCTTTCCAGCTAGCCAAGAAGCACACATTTTCTGAGTTTATTAAGTATCCTAGATTGCAAGCTCCAAGGAGCAGGGCCTTCCTATCCCTCTTGTATTGAACTGTATTGTTGCTGTATTGTCTCCCTTTATATTGTAAAGTGCTGAGCAAACTGTTGGCGCTATATAAATCCTGCATAATAATAATAATATACTGATGGTTTTTCTGTGACAGCCCTGTGGTTGGCAGTGACAACCAATCTGTGTTCCAGACATTAAAGGACTCTGCTTTCAGATTAAGCCAGTAAATCTGTGCATCCCTTGCTGAACCAGAGTTGCCACAGATTTCCTGTCCACGTCTCTGGAGACACTCTGTTGTGAGTGGATAGCAGGACTTTTTTCCCCTCTTGCACCTGAGGTGTATATTGTGTGTGCTATTTGCTACAGAAGTAGCTGTCACTGGCTGGGCTGCTATAGGTAGCAGTACTGATCAGTGTTTTCTGATGGCCAGGAAGTCTTCCCGCTATCAGAATATGAAGGCTCAGAGGGGAGGATTCTCCCATCAGCCTCAAATGTGTAGATGGGGGAATCAAGTGCCTGCTGGTTGAACAAAAAAAAATTAATTATGTATGGGAAGCTTTAGTCATAGAGTTTAATCCCTGGTTCACACTGATGTGGTGTGGCACATCGCATATGAATTGCACAGGAATTGCACCGCATTCCTGCGCAAATCACAAGCTATTTCTGTGCGGTGCAATTTGAGCTCAAATCGCACCACATCCGCACCAGAATCGTGCAGGACCCTTTTTTGTCTGCACCAGAATTGGATCGCATGGGTGTTCACACCTATGCAATCCGATTTTGCACATTGCACTGTGTTTTGCAAACCAATTTTGAGGTGGTTTTAACTTAAAATACACACCTGCAACGTTTTGCATGAACAAGGTGCACTTATGATCCAGAGCAGAAATCACACAGAAACCGGTGCAAATTTCTCACCGCATTAGTGTGAACTAGGGCTAAAGGGCACAGGAGAACTATTTATTTCTGTAATACAAAGGTAGCATAATTTAAACAATGTTTCAACTGCATAGAATACATCAATCAATCAAGGTCTGCTTTAATTTATTCTTCAATTATTATTTTGCAGCATCAGTTATTTGGCCTGTGTGTTATTGATGTACATTTTTACTGTTTGTAAATTTGATTATCAGTAATTTCTTTATTTCACACATTATTTTCCACAGATTAAAGACCCCGCTGAACGACAGACATTTTTTGAACAGCTGAGTGAAAATCTAGACTCTTTTCCTGAAGATTTCTGTCGCCATAAAATTCTTCCACAACTTCTTACAGCCTTTGAATTTGGCAGCGCTGGCGCTGTTATCCTAACACCCTTATTTAAGGTAAGCCTTTTGCCTGATTGACACGATGTGCACTGTACTGTACTTTTCCCTGAAGTAGTTTTGACTGTTGAAATGAACCAGTCGGAAACTGGAAGTGGTGGATAGTGCACATCCTATTAATCCTATAAAGCACTGTTCTGCACGATTACAAAGGAAATAAAAGTATATAGGAAGCATACACCCGGTTCCAAATTATTATGCAAATTCTATTTAAGTGTCACAAAGATTAAATATTTTGTTTTTCAGTTAAACTCATGGATGGCATTGAGTGTCAGAAATAGTTCAATGCCTTGGACACAAGGTATGAAAACATTAGATATTTCACGAAAACTTAAGCGTGATCATCGCACTATTAAGAGATTTGTGGCTGATTCAGAGCACAGACGGGTTTGTGCAGATAAAGGCACATTGAGGAAGATTTCTGCCAGATCCATGCATTGGATCAAGAGAGCAGCTGCTAAAATACCATTACATAGCAGCAAACAGATATTTGAAGCTGCTGGTGCCTCTAGAGTCCCACGGACATCAAGGTGTAGAGTCCTCCAGAGTCTTGCAACTGTGCATAAACCTTCTATTCGGCCACCAATAACCAATGCTCACAAGCAGAAACAGCTGCATTGGGCAGAAAAATACAGGAAGACTAATTTTCAAACAGTCCTGTTCACTGATGAGTGCCGTGCAACCCTGGATGGTCCAGATGGATGGAGTAGTGGATGGTTGGTGGTCAGCCACCCTGTTCCAACAAGGCTGCGACATCAGCAAGGCAGTGGTGGAGTCATGTTTTGGGCCAGAATCATGGGAACAGAGCTGGTCGGCCCCTTTAGGGTCCCCGAAGGTGTAAAGATGACCTCTGCAAAGTATGTGGAGTTTATGACTGACCACTTTCTTCCCTGGTACAGAAGGAAGAACTATGCTTTCCGTAATAAAGTCATCTTCATGCATGACAATGCACTATCTCATGCTGCAAATAATTCCTCTGCATCAATGGCTGCTATGGGGATAAAAGGAGAGAAAGTCATGGTGTGGCCTCCATCCTCCCCTGACCTCAATCCTTTTGAGAACCTTTGGAGCATCCTCAAGCAAAAGATCTATGAGGGTGGGAGGCAGTTTACATCCAAACAGCAGCTCTGGGAGACTATTCTGACATCTTGCAAACAAATTCAAGCAGAAACTGTCCAAAAACTCAGAAGTTAGAAGTCACAAAAACTCAGAGTCAGAAGTTCAATGGATGCAAGACTTGTGAAGCTGCTATCAAATAACGGGTCCTATGTTAAAATGTACTGTGACCTGTTAAAATGTTTAAAAAGTTAAAATGTTGTTAAAAGTTTGATTGAAATAGCTTTTGATTTCAGTAAATATGCTGCAAACACAACAAATGACAATTTTCAGTTCTTTACAACCTATAAAGTGTTTTGAAACTTACTGTGCGTAACAATTTGGAACAGTGCATTATAAGTTTTTTATGTATTAAAAAAATCCTATTATCATTAGGAGGTTTGTTCAATAAAATTTGAATTGTACTCTTAATAGTTGATAACATGAGAATAATGCTGACTGTTATTTACATCAATTATTTAGGTAAATAAGAAAAATTTAATTTGCATAATAATTTGGAACAGGGTGTATAACGAGTCATCTTGTTCGGCAAAACGTAGGTAGGGGCTGATCATGTTGCAGGTTGGTTATACTATTAGTATAGCACCTCTGCTTGTACGGCTCTTTTGAACACAAGAACAAACAGGGTGCTGGATTTGGATTTTCTAAGGGTCACTAAAATTCGGTTCAGCAGCACTCCACAAAACTGGAACCACGCTTATTCCCGAGGTTCTCCATAGGTCCCTTGAGTTACAGGGCCTCCATGTTGGCTGGCTGGAGGAGAGGGTTGCCCTATATGCGGATGATCTGCTCCTCTTTCTGAATGAACCTGGCCCATCCCTACAAGGGGCCCTCAGAGTACTCAACTCTTTGCCAAAGATCACAGGTCTCTGAGTCAACTGGTCCAAATCAAAACTGTTTCCCATAGATCAAGGGACACCAGGCCTTTGCCTCTCCTGAGCTGTCGTGCAGTGGGTGGACAGTTTTTCGCTACTTTGGTATCAAGATTTCTCGTTCTGCTACAGATTTTGTCAGGTTGAATCTACTACCCATTCTCTTTGATGTAAAGGCTAAACTCCAGGGGTAGGAGAACTTGCCACTATCATTATTGGGTAGAATAAACCTTATTAAGATGAAAATTTAGGCAAACTTTACCTATCTGTTTAGGAATTCCCCCCAGTGGATACCTAAATGCTTCTTTGTTAAACTAAACCAATCCTTTTCCTCCTTCCTCTGGGGACCGCGTCCGCCTTGCTATAAACTCTCCACCCTGCTGAGACCCTCCACTCAAGGGGGGCTGGCATTACCTGATTGCTTCAAGTGTTTTTTGGCTTCTCAACTGGTTACTACCCATTGGTAGCTCTACCCTGACACATCAAATACTGCCACCGTTTTGGAAGCCGCAATATTGTCCTCCCTAGAATCCCTTTAGTCACTCCTTTTCAGGGGGACCAATGCCCCATACCCCCTCACACCGTCCATAGTCGCCACAATCGAGGCTTGGAAAGTAAGTCTAAGTTTCGAGCCCCAAACCCCACACCAAATCTCCCCAAATACCCCATTATGGCTGAATCCTACCCTGCCATATCTTTATATTCTCCCTCCCACAGGGTTGGGCCAAATACAGAATTAGGTTGCTTTCTCATGTGATTCATTCATTCTTGAATCTCCAGATGAAATATAATATTCCTGAGATACATCTGTTCCGATACTGGCAACTATTTCATGCCTTTGGTGGCCAATTTTCTAGTGCCCCTGTCATCTTAACTGTATCTGACCTTGAACTCTTTTTGAGATTGGATTGTTCAGATAAACCTATATCTGTTCTATACAAGCATTTATGTATGTCTACCCTTCCTGACCCGACTTCCCTCTGGAACAGATGGTTAGTTGACATACCCGATTTGGATGGGAAAGATTGGTTGGATATTTGGGATTTCCCCTTTAAATAACTTGTCTCCCTCAGAGACAGGCTCATTCAATTTAAAATAGTACATAGAGCGCATTTTACCCCCCCCCCCCCCACCATAGAGTACACAAAATGGATCCCGCTTATTCCCCTAATTGTTGGAGATGCTCCCTTGGCCCGGGGGACTTCGTGCCCTGCAGATGCTATATACTTGGAGTGCAGAAACGAATGGGCAGCAGTGCACGAGCAACGCAGTCGCAGGGAAACCACATATATGTGAACCAGAGGTAAGGAATTGTTTCTTTATGGCTCAAAATATACCATAGTTTTGTGACAAATGCCCTTGATTTAATAATAATTCAATGATGACAGCACCATGAGTTTGTTCACCACAGTGTCTGCTTATGAAAGGTGGAGTGCACTGAAGCTCACTTACTACTTTAATGAAATTTGGGTTACAGCTGTCATTTATACCAAATGACAATCTATTTCATGCTAACCCTAACTTTGAGAAGTCCCTTCTTAGTACAAGGAAAGTGTCTGTACTTTCACTAGAGTTCCTGAAGCCTAGAAGTCTAAATGTGTGAATGTGAGATACTATGTATCTTATTTTCCCCTTCTATTACAGATTGGAAAGTTTTTGACTGCAGATGAATATCAACAAAAGATCATTCCTATCATTGTTAAAATGTTCTCCTCTACAGATAGAGCCATGAGGATACGACTCTTGCAGCAGGTAAATACCAGTTCTTGCTGGCCATACATGTGTAGATTTTCTGAGAATATTCGTAAGAAAAATTGTATGAAAATTCTTTGGTCCGTCAATGAATGTAGTTCGAAAATGCTCTTTTTCTTTTAACATTTAATTTTAACCTCTTCACTCCTGCCGCACACAAATGTGCGGCCTCCCGGCGTCTGGGCCTAGATGCCGAGCGGCCCCCCACACATTTGTGTGCAATAAAAAAAAAAACGTGCTGAGAGTGCGCGCCCTGCGCGCTCCCAGCACACATGTCCAGTACTCATGGAAAGGTCCTGATCTCTTCTTTCGATCGGGACCTTTCCCAATCATGTGACTGCTGTGACGGCGAATCACAACTGTCGCATGACCCTAAAACCCTGCCCCGCCTCCCGGCTTCTGAAACCCTTAAAGGGCTGGGAGGCGCCGGTGCCAAGGGGTTAAAATCAATGTAATTTCTGAATAACCATATACACTGTCCGAAAATTCATTTGAGAAGTTTTTTTCCTTCCTGCCCCTACTGTTTTCCCACCACTACTGTTTAAAACGAACATTGTTTTGACCCCACTAACGATTAGAAAATCAAACAAATATTCTTGAAATGAAAATTCTCAAACGAAAATCTATACATGTATGGCCAGCTAGTCAGGTAATCCATGTATAACTTTATAGCAATGCTAGCTCTGTGTCTGTGGAGAGAAGTACGCTGTTTTCTAAAGCTAAATATATATTTTATATATTTTTTATCTTTCTTGGCAACTGGCGTTAATGAAGCAACTTGGCATAGTATAATGTTCTGTTTCTGTTGCTAATTACATTTGATCATTTTTTCCTTCTTTATTTTGCTCGAGGCAGATGGAGAATTTCATCCAGTACTTAAATGAACCAACAGTCAACGCACAGATCTTCCCACATGTGGTCCATGGCTTTATGGATACTAATCCTGCAATCCGGGAACAGACAGTGAAGGTACTGCCAATATGGTGTCATTTGCTCTTTGTATTGCATGCTCTATAAGCAGTCACTACTTAAAACAGTTACTTTAGGCTTTCAGTAAAGTTAAGGAACATGTCTCATTGAACATTATTGCTTTTCTCATTGACGCACAGTGGTGGATTGGTCTATTTGCCATTCAGTCAATAAGAATAGTTAGATTTTCTCTGATGTCATCCCTATCAATCAATACTGTAAAGAGCTGAAAGGAGAGCTCCCGCCCAAAATTATTGCTGTAGTTTTGGACAGAAGATGATGGGAATCACACTTTCATGTTGATGTCAGGACGCTTTGCATTGTCATTGGGCTGAATCATATTCATGGCAATCATAATCATATCAGACATAAAGGTAGTCATGATCATAGGGAGGAGGTTTCAGAAATTTACCATTTTAGATATCTTAAAGAAGCAGCAATAGACCGATCAGCCATAAAATTATGAACACCCACCATAAGCCACTAGACCACTGAAGTTATGCTGTAGTATCTAGCAACAAAATGTCAGTAGCAAATCCTTTAACCCTTTTACTGCCAGATACGTATGTCATATGGACCTGACAGCAGGGGGTTTTATACGCACTCCCAGTGGCTGCTATGTGTATATCCGACAAGCCGACTGCCTGCTGTCAGATGGAAGTGATCCGGCGGCTGGGTATTTACTTGGTGCAACCTCATCTTTTATATTTGCTAAAAAAATTGGGTATTGTATTGTTTGCCCTAAAATTAACTTTAGTGTATTTTTTTATTGAAAGTTTACATTCCCTAGACCTATTCGCTAATAATGTCTAACATAAAAAATTGTAACTACCACTATTTTATTCTCTGGGTTCTCTGCTTTCAGAAAATATATAATGTTTTAGGGGTTTTATATAATCTTCAGACCTAAAATAGTTGTTTAAATGTGTGCAAAAAAACGCAAAAATGGCTTTGGCAGCGACAGGATTAAGTTGCGAGGTGGGGCCTCAATGGATTGGACTTGTTTTTCCAGCACATCCCACAGATGCTCGATTGGATCGCGATTAGGAAATTTTGTAGGCCAAGTCAACACCTCAAACTAGTTGTGTTCTCCAGCCATTCCTAAATTTATCGGACCAGGCCACCTTCTTCCATTGCTCCGTGGTCCAGTTCCTAATGCTCATGTTCCTATTGTAAGCTGTGAACATGGGTCAGCATTGGCACCCTGACTACACAACAAGCTGCGATACACTGTGTTCTGGCGCTGTTGTATCAAAACCAGCATTAACGGTTTCAGCAATTTTGAGCTACAATAGCTCTTTCATTGGATTGAACTACACAGGCCAGCCTTAGCTCCCCACGTGCATTTGTGAGGCTTGGCTTCTCACCCTGTCACCAGTTGACCTATTTTCCTTTCTTGGACCACTTTTGGTTGGTCCTAAGCACTGCAGATCAGGAACGTCTCACAAAAGCTGCAGTTTGGGATTTGCTCCAGTCGTCTTGCCATTACAGTACGGCTCTTGAAAAAAATCACTCAAATCCCTATACTTGCCTATTCTTTTGTGTGCTTTCAACACATCAACTTCAGAGACAACATGTTCACATGCTGCCTAAAATATTATACCCACTTTCAGATGCCACTATAAAAAGATAATCAATGTTATTCACTTTATAATCAGTGGTCATAATGTTATGGTTGATTGGTGTAACTTCTACACTCTAGGTCCTCTAATCACTCTTCACGTGAAACACAATGTCTGGTGAAATATACTGTATGTTTTTACCTTCTCTAAACTGATAGAAAGCTAGCAGTGCTGGCACAAATAGCCAGATACCTTGAAGAGTTCTCTGGGAGCCACAAAGCTCAGGTAGTTCTAATATGTGAAAACAACTTTGGTTCCCATTTCCAGTTCCAATTCTAATTTCAATTGTTGGTCAGTGAGGCTATCCATCACTAGAATTGAGCAATCGCCATGGGAGGAAAGCTAACTGGAAGCTTCACGTGTATGTGACCATGTGTGCAGGTACCTTTTGTGCATGGCTTTCTGCAGTTTAGGGGAGTGTACGTGAGCACAAATTCACTTTTAGGCTGTAAATTAATTAATGGTCAATCTTGACAAAACCACAAATTATTTTTGCTGCTTAACCACTTCCCGTCCGGCCCATGTATATAAACGGCCGGACGGTGGCAGTGCAGGGTCGGTAGGCCGTTTTATAAATGGCCTCCCCGCACCCGGCTTGTGCGCGCTCCCTGGGAGCACGCAGCACCGCGATCCGGTGCCCGCTGTGTTCTCCGGACACAGTGGAATACCGATCGTCGGATGGGACATCTGTGCGATGTCCCGATCATGTGATCACTGATTGGCCAATCAGTGATCACATGCAGAGTAGTAAGCAATATATCACTTGTGACATAATTGCTTACTACGTGTGAAATCTATGAATGATCACAGAGGTCACATGGTACAAGGCTATTCACAACAGCCTTGTACCATGTGACAAGCTGTGACCAATCACAGCTCACACAGTAGTTCTCAATGGCTGCAAGAATGCAGCCAGAGAGAAGGAGAAATGGTTGCTTTTACAGCCTTTATGGGTGTAAAAGCAATCCGTGTAAAAAAAAAAAAAAAATCTTCATCACCCCCCCACAAGTAGTACAGTGTCACCATGGTGACAAAAAAAAAAACATAATATAAAAAGTAAAAAAAGTTTAAAAATTATAATTTTTGGTGTTAAACTAATTTGGGTTATTTTTTTTTTTACTAAAAAGATAACAGAATAAATTTTGGCCAAGATTTATGATGAAATACTATTTTTTTGCAAAATTTTATAAGAAAAACACTTTTTTTTAAAAATGTTTGGACATTTTCATTTACATAGCAAAAAAAAATAAAATTCCAGTGGTGAATAAATACCACCAAAATAAAGCTTTATCTGTCTAAAAAAAAATGCTAAAAAATTCATATGGGTACAGTGTTGCATGACCGCGCAATTGTCATTCAAAGTGTGATAGCGCTGAAAGCTGAAAATTGGCCTGGACAGGAAGGGGGTAAAAGTGTCCGGACTGGAAGTGGTTAACGAAATTCTGTAGAATCAACATTTCCATCTTTCTTAAATTAGGCAAAGTACACGTTTCAACTAACCTATAGCAACTCCTCATCTTTCATGTGTTTTGCCACACTAAACTGAAAAAACAATGAAATGGATTGCTAGGTGTGTGCAATTAGTGTTGATTGTATGATGTTTTTTATAAAGGGAAAATATTTAGTTGCAGAATATCTGGAATGACTGCATTGTCAGCTCTTGTTTTTAGCAGTTGCATATATCTTGTGGTGTTGTAACACTCACTATCCATTGAAGCTGATCCTTTTTTTTATCCCTTTGTTTAGTCCATGTTGCTGCTGGCTCCCAAATTAAATGAAAACAATTTAAATGTGGAGTTGATGAAGCATTTTGCCCGACTTCAAGCACGGGATGATCAAGGGCCAATCCGGTGCAACACAACTGTGTGTTTAGGCAAGATCGCTTCCTACCTCAATCCCGCTGTAAGTAAACATTTTACTATGCTATTATACTGTATGTATTTTTATTTCCTTTATTTCATATAATACCATTTAAGGGTTTGCTTCATGGATTTGTAGATCAAATTTTTACTGCCAACATAATGGGGTCTATTTATACATTCACACAACTTTCACCTGAGTTTACCACATTTGATATTGGAAAAATGTGTGGACCCGAAGTGAAAGTTGTGTGAATCTTTTGTGTAAATGGCAAAAGATTAAAGCATTTGCTTTGAGCGATTTGTAAAGGCTTCCTCCTCAAAGAATTTGAGGCACAGCACTGAATCTATCCAGGACTCGGGTAAGTATTTGTGGGGGGGAGGGGGCTGGAGGGGAACAACTAGTGCAAGGTTTTTTTTTTTACCCTAATGCAGATAATGCACCGAGTAGAAATCCTTCTGCCTTTAGAACCACAGGACCGCTACCACAAGAATCCAGCTGTTACCTTTTATTGGTCTGAAAGGCCTCCTTTCTGGAAAAAGCTTAATATGGCTGAAAGGGCTAATTACTTATTTATTACAGGTACTTATATAGCGCCATCAATTTGCGCAGCGCTTTACATGTATATTGTACATTCACATCAGTCCCTAACCCTCAAGGGGCGTACAATCTAAGGTCCCTAATTCACATTCATACATACACATACTAGGGACAATTTAGATAGGATTCAATTAACCTACCAGCATGTCTTTGGAGTGTGGGAGGAAACCTGAATACCCGGAGGAAACCCACACAGGCACAGGGAGAACATGCAAACTCCAGGCAAGTGGTACCGTGGTTGGGATTCGAACCAATGACCCTAGTACTGCCGGGCTTAAAATTACAAGACTTTAACCCCTTGACGCCGACGTGACACAAATATGCAGCCTCACGGAACTGGGCTTTTTTCCATGGGGCCGCATATTTGCGTACTTGTCTTTTGTGCTGGGAGCGTGCCGCACTGCTCGCTCCCAGCACAAAGACTGCAGTGTCACTGAGAGCCCCGGGTCCCGTTCTAACGATCGGGACCCAGGACTCCTGATTCCGGGCCACATGATCGCTGTGATAGTCTTTGATTGGCTATCACAGTGATCAGTCACTGTGCAACCCGTCCCCCTTGTTTTTTTCTATCTCTATGAATGGAGAAGAGAGATACATTGTATCTCTAACTCCTGGCATTGCGAGAAAAAAAATGTTTGTTAATTAAAAAAAAAAAAAAAAAAGGTAGATAAATATTAAAAAATAAAATAAAAAATACCTAGATCAAGGTTTGATCTACGTCCGTTCCAGGGTTATTGTTTGGGTCAATGTCAGGGTCAAAGGTCATGATTTAAAAAAATAAATTGGTGTCAGTGTGTTTTAGGTTAAAAAATAAAAAAGAGAAAAACAAAATGCGCACTATTGTTTCTGGGCTGTACTACAGGTACAAACAACAAATAACATACACATATATGGTATCGCTGCGATCGTCAAGAGCTGGAGAATTTATTTTAGGTTGTTCTTTGGTGGTAGGTTATGGTAGTAACAAGAAACACACAGCTAAATAAAAAATTTTTTTTTTTTTTTTTTACTATTTTGGGACAGTTTTCCTTTGATAATAAAAAAAAATCAGGAGCTGTCCATTACCATTTACCACCAAATGAAAGCCCAATTTGTCCTGAAAGAAAAAGTGGTATAATTCACCTGGATGTACAAAGCAGTTGTAATGATATGTACGGTTTTACTAACACATGTCAACGTTGCAAAATTGTGCTTAGGCATTTAGATTTGTTTTACCCTTAGGCATGAAGGGGTTAATGACAAAAGCACTGGAATCAGACCAGTGTACATCTGCTGGCTATTAGAAAGAAGATAGAATAAAAAGAACAACCTGCAATGTGTTGGAGACTCTTTATACAGTTAAACAAATGGTACACTAAAGTCACAATTTTCCCTCAGACACGGCAGAGGGTCCTCATATCAGCATTCAGTAGAGCTACAAAAGATCCATTTTCCCCATCGCGTGCTGCTGGTGTTCTTGGTTTTGCTGCTACACACAACTTTTACTCGATGAATGACTGTGCTGGTAAGATCCTACCTGTGCTTTGTGGTGTCACAATGGATCCAGAAAAGAGTGTTCGAGATCAGGTGAGAGAAATACAAGACATTGTGTGTTTTATATTTACTGTAACAAAGCACAGATGAAGATGGATATCTTTCTATTTCCATATGACATTACTTTATCCATCCCCTAGGCCTTTAAAGCAATACGCAGCTTTTTGGATAAACTGGAGTCTGTGTCAGAGGATCCAGCCCAGTTAGCAGAGCTTGGTAAGTGAAAGATGGGTTTTGCATATGGGGTAATGGAAAATATAATTTGCTTTCTCTTTAGCAATTTTAGATGTCTTTCTTTAAAGTGAAACTTGCATTTTATAAATTTGTCTGTTTTTACAGAAAAAGATGTACATGCAGCATCAACTAGCCCAGGTGTTGTAGGCGGCTGGGCTGGCTGGGCTGTCACGGGTGTCTCCTCCTTGACCTCCAAATTTATCCGGACCAGTGCAGCAGGAGGACAACAGGATGTGGCTCCTGCACAGGCAGCAGCATCAGGGCCATCCGTATCCCCAGCTACAGCACCAGCAGAAGCCAGTAAGCCGGGTGAGTGTCCCATGCAATTCCAAGGCTCACAGAGATTTTCCAGCCTTTATACACCGAGTGGCTCTTTCTCTGTTAAAGCATATTTAGGGAAGATGACACTCCTTTATCATAACAAGGTATTTGTCATCTACTGCGTAAACAGGCAATTTGTCCTGATTAAATTATTCACTTTGTGACAGAGCTGCTGGGGTTCAGTCATCAAGTTCAAACAATACTCAGTGATTGACAGATAAAAGAATTAAAGTGGAAGGCAAGTCAAAACCTAACTGAGCTTCAATCTGCTCCCACCCCTATTCTAAGCCTATAATAACAACCCTGTAAAAGGAACGTAGTCTACAGTTGCAAGAAAAAGTATGTGAACTCCTTGGGATTATGTGGAGTTTTGCATGAATTGGGCATAAAATGTGCTCTGAACGTCATCTAAGTCACAACAATAGAAGAACACAGTCTGCTGAACATAATACTACACAAACATTAGATGTTGCCATGGTTTAATTGCACATAACATGTAAACATTCACAGTGCAGGGAGGAAAAAGTATGTGAACCTTTGGACTTAATAACTGGTTGACCCTCCTTTGGCAGCAATAACCTCAACCAAATGTTTCCTGTAGTTGCAGATCAGACCTGCACAACGATCTGGAGTCATTTTGGACCACTCCTCTTCACAAAACTGTTTCAGTGTAGCAATATTCTTGGGATGTCTGGTGTGAATCGCTCTCTTAAGGTCATGCCACAGCATTTCAATCGGGTTGAGGTCAGGACTCTGACTGGGCCACTCCAGAAGGCGTATTCTGTGCTGTTGCAGCCATTGTTTTGTTGAATTACTTGTATGCTTTGGGTCAATGTCCTGTTGCATCACTTATCCTCTGCGGAGCTTCAGTTGGCAGACAGATGGTCGTACGTTTTCCTGCAAAATGTCTTGATAAACTCTGGAATTCATTTTCCCATCAATGACAACAATCCGTCCAGGCCCTGAGGCAGCAAAGCAGCCCCAAACCATGTTGCTCCCTCCTCCATGTTTTACAGTGGGGATGAGGTTTTGATGTTGGTGTGCTGTGCCTTTTTTCTCCACACATAGTGTTGTGTGTTCTTCCCAAACAACTCAATCTTGGTTTCATCTGTCCACAGTATATTTTGCCAGTAGTGCTGTGGAACATCCAGGTGCTCTTTTGCAAACTTCAAACGTGCTGCAATATTCTTTTTGGACAGCAATGGCTTCCTCCGTGGTGTCCTCCTATGTACTCCATTTTTGTTTAATGTTTTCCTTATTGTAGATGTGTCAACAAAAATGTTAGCATGTGCCAGAGATTTCTGTAGGTCTTTAGCTGACACTCTGGGATTCTTCTTTACCTCATGCAGCATTCTGCGCTGTGCTCTTGCAGTCATTTTTACAGGACGACCACACCTAGGGAGAGTAGCAACAGTGCTAAACTTTCTCCATTTGTAGACAGTCTGTCTTACCGTGGACACATGAACATCAAGGCTTTTGGAGATACTTTTGTAACCCTTTCCAGCTTCATGCAAGTCAACAATTCTTGATCGTAGGTCTTCGTAGGAGCTCTTTTCTGCGAGGCATGGTTCACATCAGACAGTGCTTATTGAAACCAGTAAACCCAAAACAGGTGTGTGTTTTTTAAGGGCGGGATAGCTGTCAGAAACACATCCAATATCATCACACTGATTGGAGTCAAGGTTGGCTCACTCCTGGCTCCAATTAGCTCTGGGAGAAGTCATTAAGCTAGGGCCTCACATGCTTTTTCCTCCCTGCACTGTGAATGTTTACATGTTATGTGCAATTAAACCATGGCAACATCTAATGTTTGTGTTCTTCTATTGTTGTGACTTAGATGACGTTCAGAGCACATTTTTTTGCCCAATTCATGCAAAACTCCACGTAATCACAAGGGGTTTACATACTTTTTGTTGCAACTGTATACTTCCCTATTCTGAAGTCACTCTGGCCCTGTCACATGATCTCTTCAGCAGCTGAGCCTGGACGATGACGTCACTTATAGGCTTACTACGGGGCATCCATTGACTGCTGTCCCTTCTCTGCACTGAAGTCGGCGCTGCGACCTGATCATGTGACCATACCAGAGTGACTTCAGAATAGGTAAGTATATACATTTCCTTGTACACGGTAGTTAGAATAGACTTAGAATGGGGGTGAGAGCAGGTTTAAGCTTAGTTTGGTTTGGCAGAGGAGGGGGTGGGTGGAAGGTAGCGGTAGAGAGGTACCAGAGACCTGGGCTGCCACGCACCTAGATTTCCCCCCTCTCAAGGATAGGTGGTCTGGTTTGGGGTGTCAAAAAGACAATAGGCAGGTAGTCTAGTGCTTCCATTATCATGAGCTGTCCATCAAGTAGCCAATTATGGACGGTCACCCATGAGACTGTGATATTTGGAGTTTTTTAAAATGGCTCCAACAGGACCAGATGTGTGAAAAATTGGAGGGATTATCCTGTGTGGTTGCGATCAGTTCCTCCATATCTGCTATTTTACTGAGATGAGAAAGCCAGCCATGGACCGATGGTACATGGGTGGAGCCCTAGAAGACAGGCACAGAAAGTCTAGCTGCATGGACCATGTGCTTGGCAAACTACTTGAAATATACTTAGCTGGGCAGGGGAGTGCGGTGAAGTAGAAATTGGGCTGAAGAATAGTCCCAAGGGGAGAGTGGAGACTAAGGTAATACGGTGCAACTGCGCCCAGTATGTCTGAATTGATGGACAGTCCCATATGTAGCATGGAGCCCACTGCTGCACTGCATCTCCAACAAAGATTTGAAGCTGAAGGATTGAACTGGTGGATCTTTGACAGGGTCCTGTACCAACGTGTTAAAATTTTATACCTATTCTCCTGGGTCAAAACATTAGTGGAGCCTTTATAAGTAAAGGGATGTTCTCAGTCTGCTTCTGACAGGTTAATGGCTAGGCCTTTTTCCCAGGAGTGACAGGCTGGGGGAGTGCCTTTGGTGAATGAGTACTGACCAGTAGTGAGTAATTGACACCAGATGTTGTTGGGGCTCAGATCTGGAGCAAATGAATTCAAATGGAGTGAGGGGGCAGTTCCATTTGTTTAGGTAGGCCGTAGTCTGGAGGAAGTGCCCTACTTGAATGTATGTCCAAAGCGGAAAAGTCTGATCTTGCATAGTTGTGGCCAGAGACCTGTAGCTCATCAGTTGGCCATTATTAAAAAAAAAAAGTGTTTGGTGCGGATATGACGGTGGGGCCAGACTCTGTCATGGAAATATTTAGGCATCCCGTGGGGGAATTCCGAGTATAGATGTATAAAGGTCAGTTGACCTGGGACAGCTTTGCCTGCTGCATGGAAGGTTTTCACAGATGTCCTATGAGTGGATGATCGAGGAGCGCTTGGGGAACATGTTTTGGGGAGAGCCAGGAAGCGAACCCTAGGGGCAACTGTGAGAAGGAGTCTTCCAGGTCAACCCATGCCTTAGTGGAGGAATCGACATTCCAATCTGCGATCCTGGAGGGATGCCATGCCCAGTAATATTTTTAAAAAACTGGGAGTCCAATCCCTCTGGACTTAGGGAGCACCAGTTGAGCGTAAGAGATTCCCAGGCATTTGTGACCCCAAGGAAATTGAGTGCAACACTGCCTGCAGGAATTGAAAAGGCAGGGGGCAAATGAATAGGCAGGGCTTGTAAAGGGTAGAGGAGGCGGGGGAGGATATTCACCTTTAATATAGCTGTTCTCCCAAACCATTAGAAGGAGGGCACGCTCCCCTGTTGTAAATCAGAGTTGATACCACGTAATGCAAGGAGGAAGTTTTTCATAGAGTTCGGAGAAACTGTGTGGAAGCTGAATGCCCAGGTATGTTATGGCTTCGGATTTCCAGATAAAAGGAAAGTGGGATTTGCAAAATATCACAAGTTCTGCCGGGAGTGTAATATTTAGGGCATATGATTTGGTGAAGTTGATCTTTAGGTTTGAGATGGTTTGAAAGTATGCAAAATTTTTGAGTAAGTTGGGTAAACTGACATGAGGTTCAGACAGAAGAAGTAGAATATCATCTGCAAACGTGGCTATCTTGAAGTCACGCCCTGAAACAGAGAGGCCTTTTATGACTTTTAGATTTCAGTCTGTGGAGAAGTGATTTAGTGATTAAAGAGGGGAGGATAGGGAGGAGACGGTTACCCAGTATCTTCACGTATAATCTGATGTCAACGTTTAGCAACGATATGAGCCTGTAATTGGCCACAGAATTAGCGTCTTTGTCTTCCTTGGGAATGACCGAGATGATGTTGAGAGTGAGGGTGAGTAGAGAAGGTATTGAAGACCAATAAGAAGGGGGGCGCTAGTATATCTAAAAACGTTTTGTAGTAAGCTCCTAAGAGACCATCGGGGTCAGGGCACTTGTCAGGTTTCAGTTGTTTGACTGCCTGTTCCAGTTCCTTGGTGATGAATGGGCTTTCCAGGTTCTGGGCTGTGTCGGCCGAAACAGGTTTTGAGCTATAATGCCACAAGAAGTCAGTGATCATGCGAGATCTGGAACCTCCACCATCGTGGGGCATGGACTCGGGAGATTGTATAAGTTTTTGTAGTAACGCTCGAAGTGAGAATCAATGTCAGTGTTAGTGCCGTCGCTGCCCTGTATTCGATAGACCATCATACAGGCTTCCTTTGCACGAAGAGCTCTTGCCAGAAGTTTGCCGCTAATGTTAGCTTGCTCGTGTTGTGTTAGAAAATTATTACGCTTCATTGTTTTATCTAGTTCTTCCAAAAGTTGAGAATGCATACGTGTCAAGTCTTATATGCTTTTATGTATTGGTTTAGATGCTGTTCCTGCATCGGTACCTCCTGCTAACTTATCATCACCTTCTCACTATGAACCTGAAGAAGAGGACAATGAGGTTGATGAAAACACTTTAGACCGATGGGATGATGAAGACTGGGGAAGCCTTGAGGTAAGGAGTCATATTTGACTTGCATGCTTAATATCTAAAATATTTATATATAAAAAAAAGAAAAGCATGGTCATTCCATACAGAGACTCCACACAGGTCTGGGGAAATATATGCCTAATGTATGGCCAATATCTCAATCATAAAAAAAAAAAACGGGTAAAAAAAAATTACATAAAAACTAAAAATTGTTAAAAACACAACTGGCCATACCACTATATAATCAAACTGTACAATCTCCCCTTAACCACCAAAACCATACAACAGGAGGTTGGAACTAAGCAACCCACCCAATCTGCATCCAGTGAGGTAGGCCCCTGCATCACACAGCCAACGTTGACTCCAAAGGGAACTTCACAATCAGATTGCATAGTGTATGACCACCTTTAGGAGTTATTTTGATATGTATGGGAGTATGTTTGATAGCTGCATATACATGTTTAGTGATTAATACACTTAGTACATAATTTTTTAACTAGTGAATAAGAGTTTGCAGAAATATGTAATATTTAAGTTGTTTTTCTGACTGACTGAACATTGTATTTGAAATAAAAAAAAAAAAAATCAGTTGATTTAACCAGGGGAGCCAGAATTTTTCAAATAACTGCATTTGCTTGCTTGGAATGCAGGGTTTTATTTACTAATAGCAAATGTATCCATTACTTTTGTGCACAGGATGGAGATTCGAACAAGAGACAAACAGAAAGTGATGACTGGGACACAGCCTGGGGCCAGAGCAGTAGTAAAAAGACCCAGAATGATATGGTAAGAGCAATAATATATCCTAACACTAAACCTAAAGCTTCTCGATTATCAGCAGAGACCCTATAGGTTGTATGCAGGAAAAACAAAATAATTTTGTTAAGCAACTCAATACATCAGTTTCCTGCAAGAGAAGGGGTATTATACTCTCCTTTCCAATAGCCTGTCTCCTACTTTTCTGTCCATGTCAGTCCCTTTGGTATTCAACAATAACAAGTAGTGTGATGCCTGTGTCCCCTGCCCTCACTGTGATTCCATACTTTGACCCCTACTTTTCTAAAAGACTCGAACATGGGGGTCAGAGAGTTGAACGATGCACAGCTTCCTGAATTGTCTTATGATGAAGAATCAATTGTAAGGGACTACAGAACTGGGTCAGAGAGGAAGTAGGAAACAGACAGGTGAGTTTAATACCTTTTCCTTTACAAGGAACTGCCATTTTAGCTGACAAGGTCCCTTTGAAATACGTTACCAGACATAAAAACACATATTGGACAAAAAGGGACAAAAACTCACTTCAATTTGTCTGCTTGTGTAACACATGCTGTTATTGCTCTTGTTACTTGATATTCTATATGATCCTTCACAGCAACTCTAGTTCCCACTGTCCCCCACAAATGTTACCATAGTGTTCACAGCTTGATGACTACTATCACTAGTTTTAGGTTCTCCATAAGAAATCATTGTAACAAGAGCTCACACTCCCACACCTTGTCCCTTAACCTCTTTTTAACCCTTTTCCCTTGGATGTTAACATGTGATGTGTTCATGACCTTTGGTATGTTGTCTGTACACATCCTTTACAGAACACTAGTGTTTGTACATAATATATTGGCATGCAGCAGTGTATAGATACTTCAAGATCAGATTTAACGGTACAGTTGGTGTGCGGAAAATGTTTTGTTTTTATATATAGTTTGGATTTATTTCCCTTTTAGGCTACAAATTCCAAATCTAAAGCAAATACTGTGAGTGACCAGAGACTTACGGATACCAGAATGTCTGCTGCTGATGAAAGTTGGGGCTGGGAAGATTCTTTTCAGCCTGTCTCCGATTCTAAGAGCCAAACACCACCTACCTTCTCCCCACCCGAAGGCACAAGAGCAGCCAGTGAATACAATTGGGACAGTGTAGGTGGTGGGAAACACGTGGATTTCTTCTCAGCGGCTTCAGAGAAAACCAATCAGGTAATTGAGACGTAATAAACTATTGATAACTGTTCACCATGTGCATATAGAAAATCAGCCATTTTGTAAAAGTAGCTTCAGTAGTAAGTTGTACCCTGAATCACAATAATTTCACATTGTTTGTTTGTTTTTCCTTTTTTTTTTTTTTTTTTTTTTTTTTTTTTTTTTTTTTTAAGAAAAAAAAGAGCTTCAGTAGTATGTTGTACACTGAGTTACAGTAATTTTAAATTTTTACTTTTTGTTATGATAGCACTTTATACAATTATTAGGTGTGTGTATAGTACTTCTATGTCCTTTAGGGATTTGCACAATGTCATCAACTTTCCATTCTTTGGAAGAAAGACAGCCACAACAATAGGGGCTTGTGTTTTGTTATTGCCACTGCAGACAAGTTTTCCTTATTCTCAGTAGTGGAAGTTTTTTTTGCTAAACAAAATGAAAGTGGTTGTAAACCCTTGCATATACCCAGTGAACTGACTGGTCTCAGGTGATACACAGAGATGAAACCAATCCACTTACATAAGTTGTATCCATCTATATGCAGTCTTCTCTTCCCTACATCTGTTCATATTCCTGAATTTTATAAGCTAGGCTGAGAGTTCAGAAATAAGGGGGTGGAGAGCTGAAGTTGCACTCTGCAGAGCTCAGTGTGCAGAGCTCTGATAGCTGATTGGAGGGAAGAGACACACCACCCTCCACACAGCTCACAGGAACAGTGTCACTTGTCACCATTTTTCTCTTGGTGTCAAAAAGGAAGAGAAAAAAGTCAGGAAAACTTGTCAGAAGTGACTCATGCTGATCGCAGAGGAACAAAGCAGCAGACAGAAATGACACTTGATGCTTTTAGTAGAGACAAGTTCACACTATAGAGGGATATGCTCTGTTCATATTTCATGTCTAACAACCACTTTAAGGATACAAATGTAAACCTGGATGTGGGTATGGTTGCTCTTGTGTTCTTCGCAGTGTCACGCCGGGATGTACTGGATAGACACTTGTAACTTTCACTAGGTGCCTCCTTTGTATGGTCTCTGCGAATACATTTAGATGGGCATCCAGGTAGCAGCCAAAGTTCTTACACATCAAGGTTGGTTTAGAAGAGCAGTTCCTTGAGGCTTCCAGAGAACACCAGAAAGCTGTCAGCATCAATGGCCTGAGCAGCTGAAGGTCACATGTTCTGACTGCATGTGTATATATTTTTTTAAACATCTGCCTATCATTCCTCCTTTGTACAAAGACACTTTCACATACAATTTGGGAAAATGAATGACACCAGCTTACATTCAGTAGGGCCCCGATATACACCAGGCTTGCTGGACTGATGCTTTATTGATATAGACTGTATTTCAGCTTCAACTGAGTTACATTAAACATAACTTTTTTAACAGGCTTCTCCCAAACCCAAATCACCCATCTACAATTAACTTAGTAAGTAGATTCTGTCTTGCTATATTTCAGTTAAGGATTTTTATACTCACAGAAAAATTCTTTTACATGGAGTCCATCGAGGGGCACTGGAAGTCATCAACTGTTGAGTGGTACTCTGTTTACAGGAGGATTAGACAGTGGCAAACAAAAATTGTAGGCCAGCTCAGCATAACGCCTCCTACGATCAGCATGCCTAGGTTTTGTAACAAACCGTACCAAGAGCATGATCAATAAATACAGAAGGGTGGGACCTGTGTAATTCAATGGACTCCAAGAAAAGGGTTTTACATTGAGTACACAAATCTTATTTTCTTTCTTGTCCACTGAGGGACACACAAAATGATCAACGGTCAGTATGTCCAAAAGGAGACCAGCTTGAGAGGTATGCAACAGCAATTGCTAAAAAGCCCAAAGAACAAGAGCTAGAGACTGTCTGCAGCACAAGAACTGCCTGAAGGATCAATACCTGATCTGGCACTGGATGAATTTGAGCCCTCTACATGGTAAGGGGAACATTAAAACAAAACCGGGAGGAGAAGATGCAAGGCAGTAGTCGTCTTGGAGGTGTGCTTGGGGTCATTATCATGTTGGAATATTGTCCTGCGGCCCACTCCCTGAAGGGAGGGGATCATGCTCTGCTTCAGTATGTCACAGTACATGTTGGCATCCATGTTTCCCTCAATGAACTGTAGCTCCCCAGTGCCGGCAGCACTCATGCAGCCCCAGACCATGACATTCCCACCACCATATGAGGCATAGCACGTGCACTCAACTTCTTTGGTCAACCATGGCGAGGCCTCTTCTGAGTGGAACCTGTCCTGTTAAAGTGTTGTATGGTCTTGGCCACAGTGCTGCAGCTCAGTTTCAGGGTCTTGGCAATCTTCTTATAGCCTAGGCCATGTTTATGTAGAGCCAGAATTATTTTTTTCAGATCCTTAGAGACTTCTTTCCCATGAGGTGCCATGTTGAACTTCCAGTGACCAGTATGAGAGAGTGAGAGCGATAACACCAAATTTAACACACCTGCTCCCCATTCACACGAGACCTTGTAACACTAATGAGTCACATGACTCCAGGGAGGGAAAATGGCTAATTGGGCCCAATTTGGACGTTTTCACTTAGGTGTGTACTCACATTTGTTGTCAATGGTTTAGACATTAATGGCTGTGTGTTGAGTTATTTTTTGAGGGGACAGCAACTTTACACTGTTATACAAGCTGTACACTCACTACTTTACATTGTAGCAAAGTGTCATTTCTTCAGTGTTGCCACATGAAAAGATAGAATAAAATATTTACAAAAATGTGAACTCACTTCTGTGAGATACTTTATATCTGTATCCATATGATCCTAGATCTATGCTCTCTTGTGCGGTGGGTCAATTTGAATTAATTGAATTGAATTAAAATCTTGATAAGTTCCTCAGGTCAGCTGGGGGCCTGGCTTCAGGCCAGTTAATCCATTAGTGCATCAGCAAGTCCAAGATGGATCTAATAGCAGAGGTCAGGGTCATTCCACTCAGTGTCAGAGTGCCCCTGCTGAAATTCTGCCGCATAGTCCTCAACTGGTCTCTGAGCCTGCTGAAGAGAATGAAGTATGGACTCAGCTGTCACAGAGCACTGAAGGTTATGGTAGAGCTGAGCCATGGATTCAAACAAAAAAGTTATGGTATTCAGGTGTGGACTATTCTGTTATGATGAGCCAAAGTTTGCAGTTCCCCCTAGAGTAGCGAGATAAAGAAATCCACCTTGCTGGATTCTACTGCGAAGGTGCAAGGTTCAGTATACAGTATAGTTGGTAGGCATTCTTGAAAACCAAAAACTGATGTGGTCTGCAAATCTTTCTAGTGTTGGAACTCGGGTTCAGGTGGTGGAGCCACTGCCTTAGGTACAGGAGTGGTGGCTTCCAATATGGAAGGTGCTGGAGGTGGAGAACTCTTAGGGGCAAGTATAAACTGGGATAGTGATTCAAGGCAGCCCTCTAGCTGGAAATAACCCTCCTGAAGACATTTGACAGTTTGGTTAAGTGCCATTACAGTGGGGCAAAAAAGTATTTAGTCAGCCACCAATTGTGCAAGTTCTCCCACTTAAAAAGATGAGAGAGGCCTGTAATTGGCATCATAGGTAGACCTCAACTATGAGAGACAAAATGAGAAAAAAAATCCAGACAATCACATTGGCTGATTTGGAAAGAATTTATTTGCAAATTATGGTGGAAAATAAGTATTTGGTCACCTACAAACAAGCAAGATTTCTGGCTCTCACAGACCTGTACCTTCTTCTTTAAGAGGCTCCTCTGTGCTGCGCTCGTTACCTGTATCAATGGCACCTGTTTGAACTTGTTATCAGTATAAAAGACACCTGTCCACAACCTCAAACAGTCGCACTCCAAACTCCACTATGGTGAAGACCAAAGAGCTGTCGAAGGACACCAGAAACAAAATTGTAGACCTGTACCAGGCTGGGAAGACTGAATCTGCAATAGGCAAGCAGCTTGGTGTGAACAAATCAACTGTGGGAGCAATAATTAGAAAATGGAAGACATACAAGACCACTGATAATCTCCCTCGATCTGGGGCTCCACACAAGATCTCACCCCGTGGGGTCAAAATGATCACATGAACAGTGAGCAAGAATCCCAGGACCACACGGGGGGACCTAGTGAATGACCTGCAGAGAGCTGGGACCAACGTAACAAAGGCTACCATCAGTAACACACTACGCCGCCAGGGACTCAGATCCTGCAGTGCTAGATGTGTCCGCCTGCTTAAGCCAGTACATGTCTGGGCCCGTCTGAAGTTTACTAGAGAGCATTTGGATGATCCAGAAGAGGATTGGGAGAATGTCATATGGTCAGATGAAACCAAAATAGAACTGTTTGGTAGAAACACAAACTCGTCGTGTTTGGAGGAGAGAGAATGCTGAGTTGCATCCAAAGAACACCATACCTACTGTAAAGCATGGGGGTGGCAACATCATGCTTTGGGATGTTTCTCCGCAAAGGGACCAGGACGACTGATTCATGTACAGGACAGAATGAATGGGTGCATGTATTGTGAGATTTTGAGTGCAAACCTTCCATCAGCAAGGGTATTGAAGATGTAACGTGGCTGGGTCTTCCAACATGACAATGATCCCAAACATACCGCCCGGGCAACATAGGAGTGGCTTCATAAGAAGCATTTCAAGGTCCTGGAGTGGCCTAGCCAGTCTCCAGATCTCAACCTGCTAGATAACCTTTGGAGGGAGTTGAAAGTCTGTGTTGCCCAGCAACAGCCCCAAAACATCACTGCTCTAGAGGAGATCTGCATGGAGGAATGGGTCAACATACCAGCAACAGTGTGTTCCAACCTTGTGAAGACTTACAGGAAACGTTTGACCTCTGTCATTGCCAACAAAGGATATATAACAAAGTATTGAGATTAACTTTTGATATTGACCAAATACTTATTTTCCACCAGAATTTGCAAATAAATTCTTTCCAAATCAGCCAATGTGATTATCTGGATTTTTGTTCTCATACTCTCATAGTTGAGGTCTACCTATGATGCCAATTACAGGCCTCTCTCATCTTTTTAAGTGGGAGAACTTGCACAATTGGTGGCTGACTAAATACTTTTTTGCCCCACTGTATTTGCTGACAGAGAACGTTCATAGGTGAGACCCTCTCATTCAGGCACCATACGGCTGAATGGTACTGAAATGTAGACATATGCAGAGCCCAAGAAGAT